ACACACCACACACACACACATACACACCATACACACAAACACATACACACCACACACACATACACACAAACACATATATACCCCCCCACACACACACACACACCACACCACACTCACACCACAAAATAAAACAACATGTTTTTTAGGCTGGGCATGATAGTGCACATCTTTAATCCCAGCACTTCAGGAGGCAGAGGCAGGTGGATCTCTCTGAGTTCGAGGCCAGCCTGAGCTACACATCAAGTTCCAAGACAGTCAGGACTACACAGAGAGAGACCCTGTCTCAAAATAAGAAAATTAGAGGGCTGGAGAGAAAGATCAGAGGTTAAGAGCACTGGCTATTCTTCCAGAGGTCCTGAATTCAATTCCCAGCAACCACATGGTGGCTCATGACCATCTATAATGAGATCTGGTGCCCTCCTCTGGCATGCAGGCATACATAAATAAATCTTAAAAAAAAAAAAAAAAAAAAAAAAAAAAGCAGGGCAGTGGTGGCACACACCTTTAATCTCAGTGCTCAGGAGGCAGAACCAGGGAGGCCAGCCTGGTCTACAGAGCGAGATCCAGGACAGGCTCCAAAGCTACACAGAGAAACCCTGTCTTGGAAAAACCAAAAGAAAAAAGAAAAAGAAAGAAAAGAAAATGAAATGGAGCTGGGAGCTGGCTCAGTTCACAAAGTGATTGCTGTGCAAGTGTGAAGGTGTGAATTCAGTTCCCAACACCGGGGTCAAAGCCTGGTGCAGTGACTCACACCTAATCCCACGGCTGGAGAAGAAGAGACAGAGGACTCCTGAGGCTTTCCGACAATCTCTGAACCAGATCTCTGGGTCCAGTGAGACCCTGTCTCAAAAGCAAGGCAGAGATCAATAAAGGAAGACACTGGGCATTGCCTTGGCCTTCACACAAATGTCCATACACTCGCAGCTGCACACACACACACACACACACACACACACACACACACACACTAAAGAATTTTCCAAACAGATATGCATTACATATATTAATTACAAAGTTATAGAAAGTCATAAATAGATGAATAAACAAAATATATATCAAGAATAGACTATAGATATATGGAAACAATATTCAGCAAAAATGGTTGAGAATAAAGCTGTGGGAAAAGATTTATCAGGCTTGGGGTGGCGTGACAAATTCATGGGAGAAACAAACTGCTCAGTAAGAAAACTAGTTATTCATATGGATAGAAATAAAATTAATATCTAATACCGCACCCAAAATGAAAGTACTGTTAGACTAAATATGGAAAGTAATACCATATAGCTTTCAGAAGAAAATACAGGACATTATTTCCATTATCTGAGAGTATGGATAGACTTCTTTAGTCACAAAAAGCATTAACCATCAAACGGATTAATAATTCAGCTGGTTTAAATTACGAACTTCTGTTCATCAAAGACACCATAAAGGGGGAAAAAGCCACAAACTGAGAGATTTGCAACATGTAACTGATTAGTATACAGAATACATAAAGAAGGATAATCCTCTGGGCTAAAATTGAACACACATGCATTTGACCCCTGCCTGAAACTGCAGTAAATAGATACTTGAGACCCAGATTCACGAGGCTGGTGAGGAGGAGCCAAGGGCAAGGAAAGCCTGGCACGTGCAGAGTGTGACAGAGTGCAGTAACTGAGCCGGCGCATCTCAGAGAGTGGATGGACAGCCGGCGGCAGACACCCAACACCATTCAGCTTAAGGATATAGAGTTCAGGAGGGCGCAGGGATTGGCGATTCTGGTCCTCTGGAACTGAAGGCGGGACAGGACCAAGGCTAAAATAAAGATTATTTGAAAGTCACTTAAGAAGCAGTTAAACCTACTAATGGTTTCTATTCCTTGCCGTGGGGTGACTGCCTGGCTCTGGCTCTGGAAAAGTCACAAGTCTGTTTTTGTTTTTGTTTTTTTTTTTTCTTGGCAAGGATCTTGAGAGCAGATGAGCATCCACATATCGACTGTTAAAATCCCCAGCAGCCCTCTTCTGCACTGGCAGCTGGGTCATTACCCTAGGCCAAAGATTAAAGGAGCCTTTCCAAAGAATAAGATCCCCACAGAAAGAAAGGTGTAAGGATACTGGTGTTAGAGTCTGCAAGCAATAGTCCAGCTGGACTAGTAGTGGGTGCCACGCCAGTTACCCAGTGGTGCTAGCCGCTGGCAAATGGCTCAAGGCCTCAGACACGAGTTCTTTCAGTTTTCTATTTATGATCATGAGCAAAGATCACAGACATCTTAGGAAAACTTCTAACAGAAAAAAATGGTTAATGCCTGTGAGTTCTTCTAAATGGGTCTCTCTCTCTCTCTCTCTCTCTCTCTCTCTCTCTCTCTCTCTCTCTCTCTCTCTCTCTCTGTGTGTGTCTGTCTGTGTGTGTGCTGC